CGGGCTCGGCCTCGGCCTCCTGCACGCCCGGCTCAGGTTCGCAGCCGCAGCCGCCGCGACCTCCGCCGCCCTCGGCCGCACCGGCCACCGCGCGCCCCCGCTGCCGGGAGGCGTCGCCGCCGCCGCTCTCCCCTCGGCCGGGAGGAGCTACGGCTCCCAGGCGAAGGAAGAGGAGGAGCTGCGCGTCCGGTACCTGGACGATGAGCACAAAGGTAATGAGGGGAAGGCGGCTGTGCACCTGCTGTCCCGGCCTGGGCGGGGTGACCCTTGCGGGGCAGAGAGAGGGCGGCCCTGGGGGAGCTGCCCGGCGGCGAGAGGCGGGAAGAGAGCGGTGGCTCCTCCTTCTCCTTGTCTCCGCGGCCGGGGTTGCGTCGCAGAGTGCTGGGAGCTGTCGGCATGGCATGGCATGGCAGTGGCAGAACTGGGTCGGCTTGGTTTTTCTTGGCTCTTCACTGCATCGTAGAACGGTTCGGGTTAGGAAGGACCTGGAATGGTTCTAACTCCTCCGCCATGGGCAGGGACACCTCGTACTATACCAGATTTGCTTAGAGCTCCATCCAGCCGGGCTTTGAACACGTCAAGGAATGGGGCATCCACAGCTTTGGTGGGCAACCTATTCCAGTGCCTCACCAGCCTCACAGTAAAGATTTTCCTCCTGTTAACTAATATAGACCTGTTCTCTTTCAATTTGAGCCAGTTCCACCTTCTCCTGTTGCTACATGCCCTTTCAGGTAGGTTCCCTTCAGGTACTGGAAGGCTGTGATTAGGTCACTTCAAAATCTTCTCATTTCTACACAGAACAGTTCTAATTATGTCAGCCTTTCTTTGTAGGAGAAGTGTCCTGTTCTTATCATCTTGATGGCCTCTGGACTCACTCCCACAGTTCCATGTCCTCCCTGTGCTGGGACCCCAGAGCTGGATGCAGGGTTCCAGGTGGGCTCTCAGCAGAGCAGAGCAGAGGGGCAGAATCCCCTCCCTCCCCTGCTGCCCACGCTGCTTTGGATGCAGCCCAGGACGTTTGGGTTTCTGGGCTGGCAGTGCCCATAGCTGGGTCATGTCCAGCCTCTCAGCCACCAGCACCCCCAAGTCCTTCTCCCCAGGGCTGCTCTCCATCTGCTCATCCTCAGCCTGTGCTGGTACTGGGGATTGTCCTGACCCAGTTGAAGCACCTTGCATTTGGTCTTGTTAAAACTCATGAGATTCCCTTGGGCCCACTTCATGAGCTTGTCTGCGTTGTTGTGGATGTCATCTCGTCCTTGAGGTGTGTCAACAGCATCACTCTTATTTTCTAGAGTACTGCAGCATATGTACTGTGATTGGGAGGTACATACACCTCTGTGAACTGGCATCTGTTTGCCACTCTAATTCTGAATGAAGTTTAGCAGCAAATGTCTAGAGTCATGCTGCTTCAGACATCAGTTTTGTGCTTGTGTGCAGGGGGCAGAGAGGGCAAAAAACTGATAGCCATATTTTCTGTGGTGGAAGGTATGGCTTCAGTATTCTCTCATCTCATGATAATAATCATCTCATCCTCCTCCATGCTTTTAGTGTTGTCAGCTATTACTCACTTTTTTCTACTCGACTGTACCAAGAGTCTTATTTTAACTCACCTGTTTAAAAAAAAAGAAAGAAAATCTGTGCTCCTTAGTGACATGCAGCCAGTGCATCACAGCACAGACACTTTGTACTTCCTGTTCTGATATGGTGCTCTCTGGATTTTGGAAGTTTTCCACTTCTTTTGGTGTTTGTCACTTCCTTCCCCTGTGGATGCAGCAGGGCTAGGAATGGTGGGGAAGAAGTAAATGCAAACTCTGTTCCTGAGGTTTTATTTATTTAGCCATGATGGAGAGGGCCATAATACAGGGTTTTGGTTATCTGCAGCACATGAATCTCTTTACATGGAAGATATATCTTGGAACCACCATGTGTTGAGAGGTACAGTTTAGTTTGCATCTTTGAGCACATTAACTCAGCTATTTCACACCTACTGCCAATTTAGGCAAATGCCTGTGAGTTGAGTATGTATGCCTGTACATAGATTTGTATACATATACAGAGAGGTAACTTTAAAACTTTGAATTTTAGTATGAGCTTAGAAGATTATTTTTTCTTTTTCAAGAGAAAACTGATGTTGTGCTTTCATCTGAGGGCAGGTTTTTGTCATTATTTAGTAAAGATGATATAATCTGATCCTGAAATTATTTTCTGTCTTGTAGTTCTTTTCCCAAATCCTTCCACTTCCTTTAAAATGTACTACTTTAGTGCTGTTTTTCCAGCTGACTGTGCAACTTGGAATTAGTTTAAAACATCTCTTCAGATTGTTTCGGTATTATTTTAAGTTAAGGAAGAGAACAAGACAGGAGCAAAGAGGAGTTTGTAAAATCTTAGAAGAGTGTTTTTCCATGCTTATTTTGTGCTTTACCAAGAAGTGGTAGAAAATATCACGATCTTACATACATTTACATATTTACATACTTACTTACAACTTTTATTTCTGTTACACAACAAGCATAAAATTAGGCAGTGTGTTCCAGCTGTTGAATCAGCTAAGAATCATTGTTTTTGTAATGTTATGGAGGTATTTCATACTGAATATGTAGCCTAATGCCCCAAAACTTGGAGATAGTATTTGTAGTGTTAAAGCAGCTGTTAGCATAAGGAAGGATTCAATCAGTGTACTTGTAATTAATGAATTCTCTTAAATGGAAGGGATTTTCTTTGGTATTGTCTTTCAGAAGGACATAGAAACAAGCGCTGTTTGTTAGAAAAAGATAAGAACAAGGATGTAGAAATAGGCCAGAAGGAGACATTAACTTTATATGCCTTCTTCAGCAGCACAAAGAGCAGGCAACATTTCTGCAGAAGAAACTTGGCTCTGCTTCCTCCCTGTAGTGCTAGCACATCCTCCTCATCACCTTGTACACCAAGTTCATCTGTATTTATCTGCTTACAGCATGTAATATCTCTGCTTAATGAGGACACCAGCTCTGTAAACAGATAAATACAGATGAACTTGGTGTACAAGGTGCTGTTTTCTACCCTGCCATTCCTTGAGCTACCATTTCATGTTCTTGACTTCCCCACATGGTAGTCTGGTACCCCTGTGGCCTCGTCACACCATCCCATTACATACTTCTTGACTTCATGCACATTCAGACCCTGCTGTCTGACTACCTTTTGTGGCACACACATGCTTGTTGATGCTGTGCTTGTGTTCTTGCACATGCTTAGTGTTTCCATGTTGCTCAGGGAGGACTGTGAATACTGGGGAGGAAGGAAAACTGGCGGTACCTGCCTCATGTACAGGCACATGTTTTGTAGCACTAGACAAATCTTTGCCTTTAGGCAAAGTAGCAAACTGTTCTGCTTCATATCACTTCCATGTGATTTGCATACCTCAGGTCTTGGGAGGTTGTTAAACATGAAGTAAAGTGAGGCTATGTTGGCAAAGGCTAGTTATTGAAATTTTAACTCAAGGCTTTCCAGCTTACAAGTTTGAAATTTGACCGGAACTAGAATACAAAAGGAGTGAGATTTTTGAAGAATGTGATTGAAAAATACCTCTATATTCTGCCCATGTTGCAACTTGTGACGCTCTTAGTGTCAGTTTTCTGTGTATTGTTTTTTTTAAATTAAGTATGTATATTTTACTTCAATTGAGATTCTATTTGATCATCAGTAGGGCTGAAATGTATTACAGCTATTGACATTTCAGAACTTAGTCAAATTGCATTAGTGATCTCATTACAAATTTAAATGACCCTAGTGCTTTGGATTTTTAAGTTATAGGTGTAATTGGGAGAAATATCTTTTTAGTCTTGACTCCAGTGTAGCAGTGCCACTTGCTGTAATGTGATATAAATATTTTTAAAATTTAGATTTTACACTAGAATGACTCCTTATGGTCAAATTTCCCAGCTGGGTTTGGTTCAGTTTAGAATAAGACAGTTTTTTGTCTTCATCAGTTAGAATTTTAATGTACATGGAATGGGCAAACCAAATACAGTCTTGGTTGAAGTTGTTTGCTCAGAGGTTGGAAAATGACATCTAGCTAATAAATTGGAAAAACATCCCGTTCATTTGTTATGTTTAAAGCAGGGCTGAGCAGGTGAGATCTACTAACTTAAGAAATGCAGAAAAGAGTTAAATCAGAATTTAGAGATGAAACAGGCTCAGATAGGGTATTTTGAAGAGTGTTGTGGTGCTTTTAAAAAGTGCTGGTTGGTACACATCTGTGTGATTTTTCACTTAAATACTTCTTGATATGATGATTAATGAAAGCCACCAGAATTGTGCATGATGTATTCACCATATGTTCCTGTTTTGCTTGAGAAACTACCTCAGAATAATAAACATCTAAGTCCACTTGTCTGCCTTGGTGTATCTGAGTAGTTAAGTGAAACAAGCTTAAAAATAACTTACTTTGATCGCCCTTCCACTTTTCAAAGCATAATTCAGACTTTTTAAAATATTTTTTTGATTATGGGAAATGACCTGTGTGTGTGTATTTAATGGAAATAAATAATAAAATAAATACAAATAAAAATAATTCTGCAAGTACTTTATATGCAGATGTAGTGAATCTTTCAAACTCTGGCAAAATGTCTAATTTAAAGACAAGATGAATTTTTAACCATTTAAATGCATTTCTACCAAACGCTGAGGATGAATACTTTGATCTCTAAAACGTACAAGATAAAAGAGATAAAAAACATTATTAAAATTAAGATCTCCTGTGTGCTGTTACAAACAGTAGTTAAACCAGGATTTAATCTCTTCACTTTATTCAAGTATTAAATTTAGTGATTGCTATGAAACCAGGATGTTTCTGGGAATGTACGGATATTTTAAAGCTATCTTCCAGACACGTATGTGTCCTTATTTCAGTGAAAGACATCTCTTGGTTTTACTATGCTTTCATTTTATAATATAACTTTCATTTTTGTCATGTAACTTTTATAACTTTCATTTCCTTTTTCTCTTAAACACTGAGAATTATACCACAAGCAGCTTTCTCTTTTGATAGGGGCGACTTGTAAGTAGAGAACATATTGTACATTTATGTATGCTTTGCCTCTAATGGTTGGCTAGGAAAGTAGTATACAGGAATATTGCTACTTATATTAGACAGCACTGGGAATCATCGTCTCTTGGAGAGCCTAGCCAAGAGCCTAGTTAAGATGAAGTTAGTTTTTGGTATGCAGATATATTTTTAATAGTTGGACATTGTGTGCTGAAGTGTGTCGCAGAAATAATGTGGGGATGACTCCCAGGAAAAACGATGACCTTAATATTTGGTTTAGCATTATGTGAGTGCTTATTCCTTCTTAGTAGATCTGTCACTTGTTTGATACCATACAGATATATCAACAAAGCAAATACTACTACTACTAGTACTACTACTAATTTCTACTTCTATTTATTAATGAATTAATTTATTATTATATATTTATTAATTTATTAACTTTATTATATATTTTCTTTCTCAAGTAGAGTTTTCAAACAGTTTATTTTAAAGTATTTTGGAAAGCACATATATTTGTGTGTTCTTTAGGAAGAATGAACCGTGATTAGATGCTTTAGATGACAATGTAACAGGTATTATTGAAAAGTCACCGCCCTCAGGTCAAGTCCGCCATAATTGGAATATGGGAAACAGTGTACTGATCTTTAAAAGGTACAGACAGCTAAAGCTTGGGAACTAGGGACCTGTGAGCCACACATCGGTGCCTCCCCTCTGTGATGAACAGATCCTTCTACAAGCTGTGCTGAGGGGCATGGAGGACAGGGAGGTGATTCAAGACAGACAGCATGGGTTCACCAAGGGCATGTCCTGCCTGACCAAGCCAGTGACCTTGAATGATGGAGTTGACTCCATCAGTGGATAAGGGAATGGCTACAGCTGTCATTTATCTGGACTTCTGGAAAGCCTTTTGCAGAGTTCCCCACAACACTCTTCTTTCTTAAGTGGAGAGAGATGGATTTGGTGGATGGACTGTTCAGTGGATGAGAAGTTGATTGAATGGTGGCGTCCAGAGTGTAGTGGTCAATGGCTCAGGATGCTGATGGACGTCAGTGACAAGCGGTGTGCCTCAGGGGTCTATACTGGGACCACTGTGATTTAGCATCTTCATTGATGATATAGATTAGGGGATTGAGTTTACCTTCAGCAGATTTTTATATGATACTAAGCTGAGTGGTGCAGTTGACACACTTGAAGGATATAATGCTATCCAAAGGGACCTGGACAAACTTGGGAAGTGGGTCCATGGGAATCTCATAAAATTTGACAAGACCAAGTGCAAGGTGCTTCAACTGGGTCAGAGTAATCTCAGGTATCAGCCCAGGCTGAGGATGAGCAGATGGAGAGCAGCCCTAAGGAGAAGGACTTGGGGGTGCTGGTGGCTGAGAGGCTGGACATGCCCCAGCCATGGGCAATGCCAGCCCAGAAAGCCAAACGTGTCCTGGGCTGCATCCAAAGCAGCGTGGGCAGCAGGGGAGGGAGGGGATTCTGCCCCTCTGCTCTGCTCTGCTGAGAGCCACCTGGAACCCTGCATCCAGCTCTGGGGTCCCAGCACAGGGAGGACATGGAACTCTTGGAGTGAGTCCAGAAGAGCCATGAATATGATTAGAGGGATGAAGTACCTTTCCTGTGAAAAAAGTCTGAGGGAATTGGAATTGTTCATCCTTTGAGATAGCCTACTGTGACATTCCATATTCTAAAAGGAACCTGTAAGAAACATAGAGAGGGACTTTAAATTGGAAGAGAGCTGGTTTAGTTTAGATATTAGGAAGAGATTCTTTAAGTTTAGGGACTGAAAGTAGTTGCCTAGAGAAGTTGGGGATACCCCATTCCTGGAGCTGTTCAAGGCCATGTTGGACAGGCCTCTGGATAACCTGGTCTAGTGCAAGGTGTCCCTGCAGGAGGCTTGGAACTAAATGATCTTCAAGGTCCCTTCCGTCCTCAGGATGCTCAGATCTTGTAGTAATGGCATATCAGAACTATAATGATTCAAATGTGACTGTAAGGCGTGTCTTTTGTATATATAGTGCTGCAATATGTAGGTATCCCTTGCAAACCTTTTATACTTTTCCTCTTGCAATTCTTGCTTCATATTTTTTTCATGCTTAAATGAAAACAACTGGGTGGGTGCTGTCTTTATCTTTTACTTTTGTAAAAGGAAGCAGAAGTGGTAGTTTTGTGACTTGATACGACACTGCTAAGCAAAAATTGACTTGTATGATTTGTCTTCAAGGATAATTCCTTTGTAGGAAAAAAATCTTCAAGGTACTTTAGTGTTAAGTGAAGCTTCCTTCTGAATACACTATTGGTGGTGGTGGAGTAGCAGTCTTTGGGCTCCAGTGCAGAGAAGAAAAATTCAAGTGTCATTAAGTGTTATTGCCATTAAGTATAACATGCTTCTGAAAAGGATGCTATATCCTGACTGAAGTATGGTTTGGTGCAATAACATCTCTAGTTTATTCACGCATGGGATTTATAGTGCCTGAAAATCAAAGTGAAGTCAGGGTGAAGGGTTTTTTTGTTGCTTTAATGTAGGATGATGCTTTTGCCTAATCTACTTGTGTTGAACATCTAAAATATTTGAATTTGGAGTGATCCTCCTCCTGGAGAAGTAGTTGTAGCAGTTGAAGAAAAGTGATACAGCACCACTTGTTTTTTCTTAACAGCATATAAACAGATTCCTATGCAAATGCTGAGTAACGACCTTTGCAGGTGGTCCTGTATGAATATCTTCAGCCATAAGTATAAGCATGGGAATTCAGGCTTGTAGAACAGGGGAATGAAGGTCATTTGGGTTGACTTGGTTCCACTCCTTTTTAGGAGATATCTATACTTAACAATTGACTGTACCTTAAGAACAAGAAAGGCATGTGTGCTTTATTGCTGCATTTGACACTATTTTTATTTGAATCTTGACAGTGGTAGCTGGCAAATGGAAGACTTTGTCTTCAAATTGGTAACTGCAGAAGGAGCAGGAGCTCTTTTAAATCCTGTCTTGTCTGTATGTGTGTGCAACATACATGCAGGAGGAAGAAGAGGAAGGGAGCTCAGACACTAATGGGTCAGTCCTAAGTGAGGACAGGTTTTCCAGAAACAGAAGCAGTACGCACTGAGATGACAAGGAAGGCTACAAGAGCATAATTATATATAGATTGTACATTCAAAACTGACCGGTGAAGTAGTAATCACCTGGGCAAACACTAAGTTTCTGGAATTCTGTTTTTTCCTATCACCTATGGGTTGGTGGCAATACTGTGGGCATTTTTGTTTGAGACAGAACTTCCTTTCTGCCTTTCATTCCTGGTCTTGCTCTAGTCCTTTTTTCCCCCTTATCCTTGCATTTTCTGCATAAAAGGTCCTGATGATAAAATGTTACCAGGACCAGATCCGGACTGTGTACTGGTGTTTTGAACTCAGGCAGCTGTGTGGGTTCAGGCAGTAATTGTCTAAAAGATTGCTATAGTTGTGGTAAACTTAGGCATTGCCAAAATCGACTTTTCAGAATTTTCCTCTTTGATATTAATGCCAGTTAAGGTGAGGGGAGCATAATAAAGACAATTTTTGTTTCTGCTGCAGCATTCAAACCAATGCACAGGTAACCAGTCAGTTAGACAATTGACCGGTAACTGGACTAGGGGAGCTGTGAACGTGTCTTTGGAGCCATGTACCAAGCATTGAACTTAATTTTTGTGTTTCAGGGAGAATTTTTGTTTGATTTTTTTCCTTTTTAAACAAAAATATTTTTCCTATTGGTGGCATTCTTTCTATGTTTATTACTTCCTTTTACCTGTATCAGAGTTGCTCTTTGCTCTGATATGCTTTAAAAAGTCTCTGGAGATAGGCTCTCTAAATATGGAAATATGTGCTTTACAATTAAGCATCTTTCCTGACGGTGTGTCACACTTCATGCACAAACATGAAATTTTTGCATGCAGTTGTGTAATTCTACATTCAACCTTTGTAAGCACTGTTTCCACACGACAATGTTAGGGCCCTGTTTTGTTCTTAAAGTAAGTGTCATTTCTGTTGAGTATTGAAAAGAATAAATAATTTTATTTTCTTTCAGAAACTCAGTAGTGATTACACTAGCATTTTTTTCAGTCCTTAATGCCTTTTGTATAATTTCAAAATAATAATAATGTTACATTGTAACAATGATGTGATCTTTCTTCCTCTCCAGGAATTGTGGTGCTTGGATTAAACAGATCTCATGCCAAGAATGCACTTAGCAAAAACCTTGTAAAAATGGTAAGTGAAAAGAATAGTTTTTACTGTAAAGGGGAAGTATTGGAATGAAGCACTTTAAAAAGTGTTTGGTGATTCCTCTTCCTCCTTTTCCCTGTAGATGTCAAAAGCTGTGGATGCTTTGAAATCTGATAAGAAAGTACGAACTGTTGTATTCCGGAGTGAAGTGCCGGGGATATTCTGTGCTGGTATGCAAACTTAATTCTCCTAAAAATCTGGAAATCCGTATTCTCTTATTGCACTAAAAAAAAAAAAAAAAAAAAAAAAAAGCCCAGATTCCAAGGAAACATGTCCTTTTTATGAAATATATTCATTTCAGTAACAAAGAAAACATTTTTAAATTATTTTCGTCAATTGCTAAAACAAATCAAATATTGGGTTTATTCTTTCTGTGTCATAAAGTATTTCAAAATATATACTAGTTTAACCATGATAGTAAAAAAACATTTAATTGATCTAGAAACTCTTGCAAGTGTGTCAGAATAAGATGCAAATAATTTGAGGCCATATAAAGAGGCTTTGTTGAAAGCTGTATCAAACCTTTCTTTTAAATGCATTAACTTGTACTTTTAATTAAAGAAACATATGTAAACTTAAAATTTCATTATGAATATGCATGTTACTGCAGGCTGAATGTATTCTCAAATTAAAAACAAATCAAAACAAAAAGCACACACCCCAGCCCACATATCCAACAGTACATGCATCTTGCCAAAATGCTCCAAAAAGCAAAAGCTCTCATCTACCAGATGCTGGGAAACAGAATTTGCTGACATGTCAAGATCAATTCATACAGCAGTATCTTTTACGAATATCAAGTGAATTATCTTATTTAAAAATGTTTCAACCAGTTCTTACTGTATTCAAATTTAATTTACATCCATTTGAAATGGAAAACAGCAGTAAAACAGTTTGCTCTAATACATTAATAGAACTGTCAAGAAAGAGATCAGTTCTGAAATTTTATTTTTCTGATCATTTGTGTAGTTGTCGTTCTTGATAACCCCAAATAACATAATTAATTTACTTTTAAATGCAGAATAGTTTTTCCAATTTTTAAATATGTAATGTACCTAAACACTTTTAGTTAAGTTTAAAATTCTTCTTGTGCCTTTTAGTAAGGCTGTTTTCATGCTGATGCAGTTTGCACTTAAAAGCCTTGTGGAAATAATTGTCTTGGAAAAAAGGGGATAATCAATTCAGTGCTTAGTAATACATATAAATAGGTTAAATACGTATGTATTAATCAGCATATGTAATTTAAAGGTTGTATCTTGTTTTAAATCAAGAAGTTTTAAATTTTAGTCATCTCAGGAAAAAAACCTGTCGTTTTTAAACTGATGAAGAATGAAGCATCAGAGCAACACATGAAAATGGTGTTTCAAGTTAAATGTTATGTACTTGAAATAAAAAGATAGCTGTTGGAGTTTATAATGATTTTTTTTTTACATTCTTGAATTTTGTAATAGTGATATATTGGAAATAGGAAAGCAGACATACTGATTTTGAGGGAGAGTAGCTCAGGTATGCTACTATTATTGTACTTATGAGCTCCAAGTATTCTCCAGTGTTCTTTGTTAGCTGTCTTTTCTGAGCTGTTTTGGTATAAAGATTTAACGTACTCATTCCTGCTTGTTTGTCTGGCTTAGAAAACCAAGCAATACAGAATATGTATTAAGAAATAACAACAGAGAAGATACCAGGACATTAGGAAGGAAAATTAGTCCTGAAAAGAAGACTGTGAAAGACAAGGGCTGGGTAGCTATATTGGATCTTAACCCAGGGAGTAGAGACAGGGTGTCTCTAGGTGTCTCTAATTTTAAAAAAGTGATGGGTAAAACAAGTGTCCTAAGAAAGGAGATTCATGTAGCTGAACAATGAATAAATGATGTTCCAACAGTGGTGACTGAAATTTAGAATAAAACAGAATACCTGAGGCAGAGTTTGTTACTGAAAATAGATGAAAATTGCACAGTGGGTGGATGGATTGCTTCAATAGGTGACTTTAATGGGTGTCTCTAAAGAGAACGATAATAGAGGAAGCATAGTGAGATCTGGAAAAAACAGGTTAATAGCTTAGGGAAGTAAGATGAGGAGAGGAACATACTGGATGTAAGAAGGCAGTTTCTGGAGGGGACTCAGGAAATTCAGTAGAACAGAAGAGTTTTCAAACTTAAATGTTAAAGGAGAATATGTTACTTCAAGAACATTTAATTTCCTTAAAAAATGCAAGGATCATCTTGTGAAATGTCACATTTTCTTTTGCCTTATAGTGCTATTTAGTTAGGCTAAACCTGGAATTTTATGGGGTTTTTTTTGTATTTCCTCAATAATGTTTTCTTTCTAACATGTGTGGGAATGTATGTTTTTCAAAATACACTTTTATGATTATTTTTTGGACCACCATCTGATGTTTGGCAGACCTCATATTGAGAAACTTTGTCCTGGAATGTAGTTCCCTTTTATGTGAGGAATGAAGTCCAAGATCATTAAATCCTGCCATTCCTTAGCTATCAACACATATCTGTGAAAGCCACAAGCCAAGTGTCTTGTTTCCTTCTAAGGCCTAGTCCACAAAACATGACATCCAACCATTTTTCTCAAAGTAGAAGTGTGGATGATTAAAATATTTAAGCTCTTTTGATGTCTGATGCAGATTTGGGTGTGATTTCAAATTATGGTATTTTTGCATGGTGAAATCAGAGTGGGACAAAAATGGAATTGTATAAAAAAATGTAGAGATGTGCCAGAAATCATACCCTTTCATTCCTGCATAAAAAATCACTTTAAGTCTTTACCTATCTTTTTTGTGTCTCCTTTTTAATAGTTTATGCATCCATGTGTGCAGAAAGCTCCTCATTAATGCTCTAGGACTGATCAAAAGGGACACCCAGAAATCAAAGCCTTGCATGTCTGGGGTTAAGAGTATCTATGATTATGCATAGGCTATGTCTTTGAGTAATTATGTCTGTAAGGGCTTCTTGTGCTTCCATTAGAAATGCTCTGTCACTGAGTCACTTCTTGGCTCCTTTCTTTCTACATCTGAAATCAAATAGGTTAAGTATTGGTCTTTCTGGAGTGAACATGTATGACCAGTCCTGGCCTATGTAAGCCGAGGCTGTGTACTTGCACCGTTCTGCAGCCAAAGTAGGTGAGTCTGTAAAGGAGTCTTTATTTCCTGACAGTGTTCCATTCTTGAGGAAGGCATAGGCTTATGCATGGAATAAGGCAGGTGTCCCATGGGTAAAATGTCTGTGATCAAGTAGTCGTGGGCTGTGCTGTATTGACACAAAGTGCCAAATTACATTCACATGTAATTTGATTTTTCTTTATTAATATAATTTTAACATGTGTGTATTAGTGATATTGCTGAGGTGCTTTTTGTGAGCAGATTTTTCAGCTTTTTTCATCTTCAAAATATTTCTAGAAGTAAGTCTGCATAATAGTGTTGGATGGTACAGTACTGTGAGGAAGAGAGGAGGCAGTATCCACAAGTTGTTGCAAAATCTAATTTTGTGTTGGTGTGTTTGCAGAATGGATAAGATTGGAAGACACTTCAGTGAGGTCATCTAGTCCAACCTCACTGCTCAATTAGAGTAATTCTGGAGACAGTTTTAGAGCTGCTTCTGATTTTAACTACATGAAGTCAAAAAAAAAGTACAAATAAAATGCTTTCTTTAAAAGCAGTTTTTCCAGTTTTCAGAGAGTATTGGAGAATGGCTTTGGTCTGGAGAATTGAACCAGCTAATATTGCACCTTAAAGCTTTTGTTGTTTTGTTGTTTTCTAAGGCTTTGAATAGAAGCTGAGATAATATTTATAAAACTTGTAGTTATTGTAGAATTTTACCTTTGGATGTGTTTTGGCTGAAGCTGAAGACTGCTGCATGGTTCTAAGTCTCAAGTTTTCTTCTGTTTTTTCCCATCTCACCCACTCTTAAGAGTATGTTTGATGATGTGAAATAGGGATTATGCTATATTTTGCAATTTAAAACTATGGGATCAAGTAATAATCTTAACCTTTTAAACAGTTTTATGTGTTGATGGTTATAGTGATTAAAGAAACAGGTACTGATTATATTCTTTTCCTTCTACCTGTTTGCTTGCTGTTCCTTTGTATTGTTGTTTTTTCTTGGTTATGTCATGTTCCTCCATTCCTCTTTTCATGTCCAGTCAAGAAAGCATTAAAAAAACACATTCTTCCTGTATTTGTCTCATTGGCCCATAGTTCATTAGTTCAATTTACAGCTCATGCTAATAAATAAAATCCCTTTACCATTCAAAGTAGTTTTACCATTCAGAGTAGTACCTCTGGTGCCTGAACAACCAGGACAGTTGCTTAACTCTTACTGTCCAAGTCCAGTCAGAGATTATTTATCTTAAAAATCCACATATGAGTTGTTGTCACTTTCTCTGCATCCATCTGTTCTCTGTTGATGTGCAAAAAAAAATCCTTCTATCTCCTAAAGGAGAAAAGGACTAGAGGAACATGCTGGTTCTGGATTTTGATTTCCCTGGGAGAGTTAGGAGAGCTTTCTGTTTAACTTGTAACTTCTTAAGACTTTTGTGGTGACTGTGTTTAGAGTATAAGTATTTAGAACTGTCTCTCTTCAGGATTGTTTTTTCAAAGTGAACTGTACTATATGAAATAGATGTTTTGAGGTTGATGGGGTATTTGCTTTGTATATGTGTGCATGCAAAGAGAGCAAGCTTTGGAACAATTTTTACTTGACTTATTTGAAAAATGTTCTTTGGAGACCTTTTTTCAAAAATCTTTGAGACATACCAGAATATAGACAGTTAACTTTTTGCTGTTGTTGTAACAGGCTTTCAAGACAGTTTGAAAAATTCTGGTATTTGAGCTCTTTAAACCACTTTGACCTAAAAGTTACTGCAGCTTGGCCAATAAAGTCCCTTCTTGGAAAAGCAGAAGAAATCTCCGTGCCAGAAAAAAATTCTCCATTTGAATTTGTGGTATGAGTAAAGCCAACCCAAATGCTTTTCCTGTTGGCATAATTTGTCTGCATCAAAATTTCGTTTCCATCAGAGTTGAAATGGTTATATGGAGTTTAATTCCCGGCTGCTACTTCCAGCTCTTGCAGTTTTTCTGGCAGCAGTTTATGAAGCAGACAAGCCTGGTAGAGCAGATCCTTGAAGACTTCTTTGTTTATGAGGTTTTGGTATGGAGGAG